TAAATGTTTTTCTCAAAAGAAAAGGTACAATCCTCCTCGTACAAAAAAGATGAGATGATAGGTGTGAGAGAAAAAGGAGAAAAACTGCTACGGTTTTCTTATATTATATTTTTGAGGTTGATATGAGAAAGAGATGGTTCACCCACTATGAATAATGTAGTAATAGACTTGGTGAATCACATCAAATTGGGGCTGATTTGAAATGAGAGTCACTAGATCAAGCTTCTTGCTGCCCATCACAAGAAGAAAGATAAATCATTTGACCCGCATAGTTGTTTTTAGAATATATGTGAAATAAATGGAAATCTTTCACGGTACTACAAAAATATATAATTAAAATTGTAAATGCTGCAATTAAACCTAATTATCTTATGCTAAAGGGTTGTTATTATAACCATCAAAAAGTGCAAAACACAACAAAATATTTTACACATAGTTAGGAGGGATGTATGTATTTTACCTTTAAATGCAATCTAATTATAATAATTAAGGAATTAAAAAAATTCTAATGCATGATAATTACATGGAAATAAAATAATAGATAATTCTAAAATGCTGAACTTCCTAAAAATCCTCTATAGATGATGAATCTTGTCCATATAAGGCTCAATATATTTCAAAAATCTATTTAGCTCTTTATAGAAAATTCTAAAATGTAACAACATTTTCACAAGTCTATATAATGCCTTATATATATATAATCCTAAAATATAACAAAATCTTCTAAAAAAATCTAGAAGTAATGATTTCTAACGTTAAAAGTAACAATCTCTCCCAAATTCTTTTTTACTATTTTTTTCTCTACTCCCACCACCTATTTCCAACTTTTTCTCTCTCTCAAACTCTCATTGTCTTGTTCCGATTCTTTCTCCTTATCTCTAACTCTCTTGTTATCTCTTTAAAATTTCATTCAATTTATTCATCTATAAGATCCTGACTTCATAATTGCATCTAATTTTTTATCTAATCTCGCCCACTCTCAATATATTAAATGATAGTTAAAAAAATTTATTATCTTCTTAAAATATTAAATGAGGTCTCATGTAAAATTTTTGCTTTAGGCCTCAATTTGCTTTTGGGCCGCCCTTGACACGAATACAACCTAACCTAACAAAATTGTCACTGTTTTATAGGATAGTGAGGCTAGAGACTGAGAGACTGGAAGAGGACAATGGTGGTGGTGGCTGGTGGGTCTGTGAGACAAAAACAGTGGAGGTTGGAGTGAAAACTGCCCACGTAGAAGTGATGAACATGTTTGGCAATAGATATAACGTTGTTCAGTAGGCGGATTTAGGTGTTTGGAAGCAGGATTAGAATTAATATTATTGTTGCTTAACTAGATTTGGTTTTCCAACCTTTTTTTTTTTTGGTCGAGAGGTTTTCCAGTTGAAGAAAAATATAGTCAACATGTGAGAGCAAAATTGCCCAGCCAATGTTAGACGACAACACTAATAAGGGTGTTAGTGTAATTTTAAAAACAACAAGGGGGTGCAGTGAAAAATTGAAAAACAACAAGGAAGTCATTGTAAGTTACCCTTTTTTTTTTGGGGGCACACAGAAGATAATACATTCATATTTTGCAGGGCCGCGCCCAACATCAATGGGGGCACTAGACAAAAACTTCATACGGGCCTTATTAATATTTCGGGTAGTAATATATATTATATTATTATTTGTAATTATCATAATTTAATTTTTTATTTATTTAAAAATTATTTTTCTTGTATTTTGAGATGTAAAAATATTGATCAAGTTGTTATATTCAAGTTTTGTCAATAACTCTTTTTCTATAGATAATATAGTTAGTCCATTTAATTTTTCTTGTGATATAATTAACCATAAATAAGATTTTATCAATTTAAGTTTTGAAAAACTCATTTTTGCTAATATGATTTTATCGGTATTGTTAAAAAAATTATATAAGTAATGCTTGCATTCGAAAAATAATCTAGTCTTTTTATATAGTTCAATATTTCAATTAAAGTGTTGATATTAATTTTTAAAACTTCGTTGAGAGGGAGAGAGGCTTGAGCTAGAGTTTTCTTGGGGTAGAAATTATGTTTTTATATTTATATTAGGGTTCCTATTTTAAGGATTTTATTGGGCTTAACAAAATGGAGTGAAACTATGGACTTAACAAAGCTAGATTTGGGCTTTTAAATTTTGGGTCATATCTAACATTGAAAAGAAAAAGGGTTCTTTGAAAATCGGTACACTTAATTAGATTTATTTGACAAAAAGTACATAGAATAAAATGTGAGTTAAAAATACATAAATGCTCATTTTATGGTCATTTAATTTAAAATCTCTTATCTTTAATACACCTTGATTCATGTGTGTTTGTTAATACATATAAATAAATCTTGAATTCACCTTTGATTCATGTGTATTTGTTAATACATGTAAATATATATATACACGTATATACGAATATATATACTTATTTATATATATATATATATATTTTGTTAAATCTCTTATTTAAATTTTTAATTATTTTTAATGTTTTGAATTATCNCACACACACACACACACACACACACACACACACATATATATATATATATATATATATATATATATATATTATTTGTTATTAAATTTCTTATTTAAATTTTGAATTATTTTTAATACACCTTAATTCATGCGTGTATTTTTTTTAAAAGTGATTTTGTTTTTAAATTATATTTAATGTACCTTGATTCAAGCGTTTTTTTTTTGAAAAATATTTTTATTTTTAAATTAATTTAATATCCGAATAATGTAATAGTATAACAATAACAGTGTAACAAATGCACCGTAACAAAAATAGTGTTCAGTAGTTTTGTGNTTTTTTTTAAAAGTGATTTTGTTTTTAAATTATATTTAATGTACCTTGATTCAAGCGTTTTTTTTTTGAAAAATATTTTTATTTTTAAATTAATTTAATATCCGAATAATGTAATAGTATAACAATAACAATGTAACAAAAACAGTGTTCAATAGNATAGTACAATATTTTGTGTAAATAGCTTATTACACTATTATTGTTATATTGTTACATAATTAGTGTTACACTTTATATTGTTTCACTATTACACTATTCTGATATTAAATTAATTTAAAAATAAAATCACTTTCTAAAAAAATGCATGAATTAAGGTANGAAATTATATGAAACTATATGTTTGACAAAATGTAATAGTACAATATTTTTTGTAAATAGCTTGTTACACTATTATTGTTATGTTGTTATATTGTTAGTGTTACACTATTACACTTTTATTGTTATACTATTATTGTTATACTGTTACACTTTTATTGTTACACTATTATTATTACACTATTACACTATTCGGATATTAAATTAATTTGAAAATAAAACCAATTTCTAAAAAAAAAAATTAATGAATCCAGATGCATTAAAAGATAATTCAAAATTTAGATAAGAGATTTAACAACAAGTATATACATAAGTATATATATATATATATATTAAAGTTCTTCCATAAAATTAGGAGATGTTTAATGCACCACTTTCCAAAGAAANATATATATATATATATATATATATATATATATATATATATATATATATATTAAAGTTCTCCCATAAAATTAGAAGATGTTTAATGCATCACTTTCTAATGAAAAGTGGTGCATTAAATACACATGGATTAATGGAGGGCAAAAATGTCACAATAAAAATAGATAAATTCAAATTATGTACTTGGATACAAATAAGTATCAAAATTAAGTATTTAATAACACTATTTTTTTTAGTGTATATTTTTTGTCAAATAAGTCTAATTTGGTGTACCCCTTACAATTTACCCTAAGAAAAAACAAACAAAATGGACCTAATATACTAAAAGGTTAAAAATTTTGGGCCCCTCTAAAACTTGGGCTTAACCAAATGGAGAGCGATTATAGGCTTAACAAAGCTAGATTTGGGCTCTTAAAATTTGTAACCATAAAAATTTGGGTCCTATCTCAAAACTTAAAAACACAAAAAAAAAAAAAAAAAATGGATCTATTATACTTTTAAGAGATAAACTTTTTAGTGGTCTGATATTTTGAACATGTTTTTCCAGACATCATACTATTGTCGCAAGAGTCTAAGAAAAACAACAAACTTAGGTCCGAGCACCATCTCTCAAAGCGCTTATTCGTTTAACAAAATATTACTTTTATAATTGTAAAAAAAATATCAAAAATCACAGAGAAGATATTTTTGATTGCTTCTTCTGTTTTTTTTTGATTGCTTCTTTTTGAATCTTGCACGAATCACTTCTTTTAAGTCATTTTGATCAGCTAGGGATTCCGTTTAAAGAAATTAAAAAAAAAAAATTGTCGAGTTCTTGGGACATATACATGTAGAATCATCAAAGAACATCAAAAAGAGGATGCAACAAAAGATTAATATGTTAAGAACATATATAGTAAAATAAGATAGCTTGCTTTTTAAAATCTACTTAATATGATTACAAAAATTAGATTAAACTCAAAAATAATCGATCATGTATAGAATTTCAAGAAGTGTTACTGAAATTATATAATATTGTTTGGTAGATGCAAGATTGTATGCAATGAAAACTTTGGATTGCAGAAAGTTGTATTGAATTTTGTATATTACTAATTGGTCTATGCAAACATTACACATGTATCATTTATCGAATATGATATATTTTTATTGTAAAAGTGGTCTTATTTTTCGACATCTGATCTTTAAGTACCTTGAAGATAAATGTGTTTATCAGATTTTTTATACACGACTTTTTGTTGGCCTTTTATGAGTTCCTCAAACAAATAGGAGGAACAAACATCTCAATTGCAAAAAAGAGCTAGGAGTCTTACCATTTCTCCTAATTTTCCATTGTAGAAATGTTAAGAGCAAACATATAAACCACCAGATACTATCGACTTTGAATTCATCTTAAATCAAAAATTGTTTTAAATGTATCCAATACGAGAAAGTGAGGAAATAATACCTTCTAATATGAAGACTATCACCGTGGGGTGGGGGTTTTTTTTATTGGAATGTCTCATTTTTAAAACAGTGTTTTCATTCTTAAACCATTTGGATACGAGCCATGAAAATTAAAAAATAAAAAAAAATAAAATATTCGGATCAGATTTATGTTTCCAATTCCAATTCGGGTCAGATGAAATCGGTCGTACACGCGGGGGCATGTATATTGCATAGCTTGGCCTTAGTTATGGTTGGGTATTGAATTGCATGTAATGTGTCGCGAACATCAACCGCACCCAATTTGCCGTAAAACAAAAGAAAATCAAAGAGTTACATGGGTACTGTTCCCGAACAACCTGGAGGCTCCTTGTCCATTTCGATATTTTCAATGACCTTGCAAGAGAGGAGTGTTTGGGGTGGATGATTCCGATCCACAAACAACGTCCATGACCATGTTCTGCTCTTTGGCCTGTCCCCATATCACGGTGTAAAATCCAATAGCAATCAAAATTGATCCAATAACACTGCAAAAACATTAAACCAAGCTAGCATTGATATTCTCTTCATTGATTTCAAATTATACGAATATACTTGTGACAAAAGTGCAATGCCATGGACCCAGATTGTATGATATTGTTTGCATTGTGCTCGACTCGTAGTTTTTAAAATGCATGATGCAATAAAAGTTTAAAACTCACACCAATTAAGCATTTCACACTCATTTCACCAGGTAAAGTGTTGTAGGGACAGTAGACCATATTTTGGTTGCAAGTGAGGAAACAAAAGACTATTTTTACATTTGGCAAATTCATTGAAAATCACGAGAACAACATATGGGAGGAAATCCGAATCGGGAACAAATATATACCTGCCTAAATGAAGTGTCTCACCAAGGAACATGACCCCCATGATCACTGCAATGACCGTGGACAATGGCTTGAACATGGCTACATAAATAGGACCCTTCTTGCCCAGGCACCATGTTACAATACTACTACGGAATACAGTACCGAATATTGCCTGCAATGAAGCTGAGTTAGTAAACAACAGTGATGTCTGATCACTTGACATTGTTTTTGGCATAAGTGTTTGTGTGTAAGATCACAAAAGACCACAGACGCATTCTACTATGATCCAAAAGAGTAAAGGAAAACATATATATAACAAGGGTGCACATTACCACTTCCAAGATTTGTCATATGTAACTAAAGACCAAGGTAGGTCTGTAGCTTGCTTACCGCATAACCAGTAGCTGTCATCTGGATGCCAGGCTGTAGCACCCAAGCACCTAGATCTCTTTCTATGATGAGAGTGAAAATTGCACATTGAATGGAACCGAAGCAGCTACAGAAAAAGACTATAGTCATTTCATCCGGGTATAGCTTGACAGTTGCTGTCTAAACATAGAAATCAATCAGTCAACTGGGAAAAACCTCGAATAATTTGTAAATGCTCCATTTTCTTCAGTAGTGTACTAAATGGATACTCTCTGAAGAAGGAGGTTGGTTTATGTTCCAAATGCAAGAGCAAGTGGGGTTTTCATTCTAAAGTTCAATTCTTTTTCTGGGTGGACTTATACCTGAAAAACATTCCAGATTGAAGAACAAATGCAAGTGATGGCCAGAAAAAGTCCTCCGAGTGCCCAATTCGACTGTCGCAACAGAAGAAGCTGCTGAGGCAAATTAGTTTGCGATGTTAACATTAGAATTGGTGGGCCTTCATAAAGAGTCATCACGAATGCTCCAGATATTGCTACTATGGTGCCCAACGATTTTGCTTGACTGCTTGATCTTCTTAAGTCTAACTTCTCCATCCTAATATTGCAACATTCGTTTACTAATTCATCATACACAGCAAATCAACAGAAATAGTGCAGAGGAAGCAAAAAAGTTACCCCTAATTGATGTGCGATTACAAAAGATATTATTATCTAGCATTGATATTTATCTGATTATAAGCAAATTAAGTCATTTGCAGAAAACAATATGGCCTTGCTGCTTTCATAAAAGCAGTGTACATTTTAATTCCTCCTAGTCATGGGAGAGGTGAGTTTCCGTAAGAGGCTGCCGCAAAGCGACCATATACACCACATAAAACCAGATAATTTAATTAGTTGCAGAGTAAAACAATTTGAAATCGCAGTAATCAATTATAATCAAAATTCAAGTTCTCAACAGCCCACCGCACTGCAAAATAGCATAACAATATATAAATATATTTTTATATATAAATCTGCATCAGCATCATCAGTCACCATTTAAATCAGTAAGTGTTAGACAGCTGGAAACAGTTTCTTTGGTTTTTGTGGTCCTACCTGCAAATGATTGCGAACAGAAATGTAAAAACTGGTATCAAGTTGCCTATAGCAGCTGCCAGAGTTGGAGAGCTGTAGTCTATTCCAATATAAGCAGAAACCTGCAATAGACAAATTCTGAAACATTTCTTTCAGATATATGTCTCCAATATTGAAAATTGCTGTAATATTGATGCGATTGAATGCACTGAAAACATGGGTATGTTTTGTTACCCAACGAAACCAAGGATGAAGAATCTACAGAGAATAGAGAAAGTGAGAGTAAGCCGACTGCTTCTGCAAAAAGTAGATGAGGGTTAAGTTTGATGGGTATTTACTATGAAGAAGAGAACGATTACTAGAATTCTGGCTTCAAGTTACAGATGGTATGTCATATATATTACAAACCTGCAGCTGTGGAAGATTATGTATGGAAGAAGGATGAGGGTGCCAAGGGCGTTGTAGTAGACAACATAAACGAATTTGCTCATCCCACTATTCATGGCAGCTTTGGCTAGGGTTATCATACCTATATCGGTGCACTCTACCATTACCATTGCTGCAAAGGGCAATACATCCGTGATGAATTTCTGCATCCCCATCCCCGTCATCACTTTCTCAGTTTCTTTCTTAGTATTACTCAATCTCCACGGTTGCAGAAAAGAAAGTGAAGAGGGAGCACTTTGAACCTCAGAAATAAAAGTATTCTCTTGGTTCCTAAATCATAAAGACTAATTTTGATGAAAGGACGGAGAACTGTCATTCCACTATGTTCTCCAGATCATAAAATCATCTTCTGTGGACTTGCGGATCTTAAAATATATTTCTATCCACATGGGCAAAGCATTGATAATCTGGCTGTACAAAGGTCCTTAGTCTCTGTATTGCCCTTGCTTTAAGCTAATCTTAGTGCTTGTTTGGTAGGTAGAAGTGAGAATTCCCACACACCACAAAGAGAATATGCTATAAACTTAATGGTAATGACTACATGACAAAGGATTAATCATTAAACAACTGGCAAGTGGTCGTTTGGCTTTTTTTCCCCATAGTACAAGTCATTAATCAACTGAAGAATTAGGTAATAATGCCAATTTTTTCCTCAACTTTCTTTTTCACCTTTTCTTTTTCATTTCTTCAATTGTGTCTCTTGCTAGATTCATCAGTCTGCCCAATCCTTTGATTGTAAACCCGATAATTGGTTTTTGATACTCATTTTCTTGCTTAGATGACAAAGATCTTACCTTCTTGCAAATCACATATGATAAAAAATTATATAAAATAGGGTTAAATTTCATTAACACCCCTCGAGATTGACCTAATTGCAGGGACATCTCCTATAATTTCTGAAATACCACTACATACTCTTGTAATTTATCATTAGTTTCACATAATACCCCTACAATCATTAACGTTGCTGACATCTAACAGAAATCAGTGATGTCATGGAATATGTTACAGTGAACTACCAATTTTATCCTCAAGTTAGCTTTTCAATTTTATTAATCAATTGACATTTAATTTTATTAATTTAAATATTAATTTCATCACAATAACACTAATTTAATCAATTTAACACCAAATTAATAATTAATTTTATCAAATTCATATTCAATTTCATCACATTAATATTTTAAAATTTAATTTCATCAAATTAACATTTTAGATTTAATTTTTTCAAATTAACATTCAATTTATTTAATTTAGAATTTAATTTCATCAAAAAAAATTAAATTGATGAAATTAGTGTTAGTTAAATTGATGAAATTAGTGTCATTGTGATGAAATTAATATTTGAATTAATAAAATTAAGTGTCAATTTGATGAAACTAAATTATAAATTAAATAAATTGAATGTTAATTTAGCTTTAATTTGATGAAATTAAATATTAATTTGGTGTTAAATTGATGAAATTAGTGTTAGTGTGATGAAATTAATATTTGAATTAATGAAATTAAATGTCAATTTGATGAAATTGAAGTTCAATTTGATGAAACTAAATTCTAAATTAAATGTTAATTTGACTTTAATTTACCAAAATTAAATTTTAAAATATTAATTTGAGGAAATTAAATATTAATTTGGTATTAAAATAATAAAATTAATGTTAGTATGATGAAATTGATATTTGAATTAATCTATACTACTAATAAAAATATCTTAACATAAAAAACTTTTGATTCAATATTTTGTCCTTATAAAAAACTATAGAGGCTAATTTGTTTTTTGTATTTAAATATACAAATTATCATTATATTTCTTTATATTTAAATAACAAATTAATCTCTAATATATCATACAAATCTCTTTATATTTCTAAAACTTTTGAACGGTCATGTTATGCTTAACGTGATATATAAAAACAACATTATTATTTTTCCCTAAAACCCCAATATTAATACATGTTGATAACTACATTAATACAATATCTTCTGTAATGCCCAAAACGAATATATTTATCTTATCTCTTTATTTACAATGAAAATCATTTGGTAAAAAATTACTAATGCGCAAAGTAAAAACAAGACAAAAAGAAGAAAAATCGAGAAAAAAAATATATATATATAAATCTTACTACTTGGTAGCTCAAATAAAAGAATCACAGAAAATGAGTTCATTTGACGTTTATAACTATGAAGAGAATAAAAACAATTTAAGTATGATAAATATAAGATAATTAGTTATTACCCGAAAGCACCATATTTTAATAAAATTGCACTTAAAAAAATGTATAACACAAAATACTAATTAATATAGACCCATTATTCAAAAAAAAAAAAAAACAATCGATAAAATACTCATGCGTAAAGGCACTGTATAATAAAAAAATCTCCAATTAAAAAAAATTAGAATCTATAAAAAAAAACTATGCTTACTATGGTAATTGAATTTCATATTTCATTTAAGGTAACATAGTTATACTTACTACGAAAAATTATCAAAAAAATATAAAAAAAAACAATTACTTTGAAAATTGCGTCCAGCCCAAGAAGGAGCTCTCATGACTGCACAATTCACCTCAAAGTCATAGCACTACCAAAAAGAATAAGTTTAGATCCAATGATCCTAACATGTCTTCCCCTCAGCAACCGCGACTATTTTCCCACACAATCCTATGCTTTTTCTGTGATCAAAATCAAATAGCTAGTAAATCAGTCGATCCAATTTACTATAACAATTAAAATCATATAGAACTATAGAAAATTGACTTAACAATTCATCTAAAATTAATCGAATACATCAACCTTACTGACCTAGAAAATTGAATGTATTAACCCTTGTAAGAGTTGTAATGAAAGTCATTTTGCATGTGTTTAAAAGCCACTGCTATGATCATCAAACAAAGTCAAACATATATTGGAAAAGGGTCCAAATCACAGTAAAAAAAAAGTAGAGTAAAAGTGAGGAATCAAAATTTTAAATCCCCTTATTTCACCAATTTTTTGGACTGAAAAATTGATTTGAAAAAGCATACACACAACCTAATTAATGCAACTACAACACTTAAACCAACTAAGAGACATGTGAAGTGATGTAGGGTTAGCTATCTTGCTTTCTTCCACACATTGCAAACAAAACAATGAACAAAAATTTCAAAGCATTCAAAAAATTTGTCATTAAATTAAAGCTTCACATGTTTAAGCAAATCAATCACATATTCTATCAGCTAAAAAACAGAGAAAACATTGAATTAAGTTTGCTTTACAATTAAGAAAACATAATATGAGACACAAAAACGTAACTTTTGTCCAATATTTTGGCCAACCAAACACTCAGCAATTCTGAACGAAGACATATTAGTGTCATTCATTAGACAAACAAAACAATGCACAAAATTCTGAACAACCACTTAAGTCTAAAACAATTGTTTAACAAATTAACTTAAAAACACACAAATCAAACAAATCATTGCTTAATTGAAAATATTATTTAACTGCAAACAACTTGCATGTAATTCAAAAGTCAAAATAACTCAAAGAGAAATTCCAATAGGGTGAATAGAATTTTAGAGAGAGCAAAATAGATGTAATTTCATCTTGGTCAGATATGTGATCATTTTTTCCTTAATACTTTCAGAACTGAAAATGCATAACTGAATGCAATGACTACATGCACAAATGTGCACATCTACTCATAATTTATTATGTCCACATAAAGAAAAAGCATTGAGATTGAATATCCTTTACCTTTTTTTAAATGTAGTAACTTCACTTTTTTGAGGACATGGGAAAAGCCTGGTTGTGTGATTAAATGCCTATTAGCTACAACATAAATACGTTTTTAATTAGGCATAGCATTATCAAAGATAACAAATAAAATTATATCAATGCAACCATTCATCAAGGCAAAAGAATAAGAGAATTTCAACATTAAACCATCAATAACCTAAATTGCTTTTGAAGTCTGTAGGGTATAAAGAATGGTCCATATAGCATCTATCAGAAGTAGCTTTATAAGAGAAGTTTACAATGCTGCTCCAAAAAGTAGACGCACACTGCAACACCAAAATCAAAAACACCAGAGGCTAATGAAAAATAAAAAAAATAGAGTTTAATATAACCATCAAGAGTTGTGTGGACAAAAGGGAGGCATATCTTAGAAATACAGTAACAAATAAAAAAAATGATAACCTGAAGGCACAATGCACCCGTAACAGGTGGAGAAGACGTTGGCAACCATGGCGTCTCCTGGAATTAATTATCGATCGAAAGGGCTACTTGTTTTGTGCAAGAAAACAGAAAATTCAAAACACTACTTGTGCTAAAAACAAAACATTTACTTGCAAAAATATGCAATAGATGAAGAAAGGGTCACAATTTCTTTTCTGCGACTTTATTCGATAAGTATGCATAAAAAACACAGTCAAAAAACAGAGGAAGCGAAGAAGTGCGAGTATGTGTGTGTGTGTGTTGTATCTAGCGTAAATGAGTGTGTTTGTTGTGTTTAGCGTGTGTGTGTTCGTTGTGTTGTGTGTCTGTGTTAGTGTGGGAAACAGAGAGGAGGAAGAGAGGAGAGGAAAAGGATGAACAAATATTTGAGGTTGTGTGGCCGTGGCTGTGTAGGGTCACCATTTCTTTTCTGCGACGTTATCTGATCATCTAGTATGAATAAAAAAACACAGTCAAAAAATAGAGGAAGCGAAAAAGTGGGAGTATGTGTGTGTGTGTGTGTGTTGTATCCAGCGTGAGTGAGTGTGTGTGTTTGTTGTGTTCATCGTGTGGGTGTTTGTTGTATTCATCGTGTGTGTTTGTTGTGTTTTGTGTGTCTATGTTAGTGCAGGAAGCAAAGAGGAGGAAGAGAGAGTTGTTGGGTCACTTTTTAAAAATGGAAGAGAGTTACCGGGTATCGGGTGAAAATGGAAGAGAGGAGGGAGAGTATATCGGGTGATAAAGAGAGAGTTATAGTATGAGATAGAAAGATAAAGTTAGATGAGAGATAGGAGTCTTTGTATCAGTTAGTATGAGATAAGGGGAGAGAGTTAGATGAGAGATAGGAGTTTTAGGAAAATTTGATATGAGAACCGTCGGATCAATAATCATCAAGCGATCTGACCGCAAAAAACTAAAGACAAAGAAAGCTAGCTACTTTATTATATAGATATCTAATGTAGCTATATAATTGATTTTTTTTATGTTTTTTTATCAAATATTTCAACAAAAACTTTTGCGTGCAACGCACGTCGTGCATTATTAGTGATATTAAATGTTAAGTTAATGAAATTAAAGTTCAAGTTGATGTTAATTTAATGAAACTAAATTCTAAATTAAATTGGGGCGTGTGTAGAATAATTTAGAAAGTATAGGGGGTTAAAAGATAAACACTAGGGTTGAAGCCTTAAAGGGTAATTCAGCAAAATCGCATCTCTATTTAGTTTGTTAACCAACATAATCTGATCGGGAGTGACAATGACATTTCAAAAAC